CTGTTCGCTTCAGAATATCCAGCCGAAAGATCCATCCAGCTCTACAAGACCCAGTACCTTCCACACGGTATATCCCAGTAAAAGTGATCTGTCAGTGGGGAACGAGGGTCAGGCTCTCCACAGCTCCTCTCTGACAGCGGCCGCGCTCTGTTCTGACACTGTTCCGCTCAGTCTCATATATGTCCGCCGTCCAATACAATAGAACATTGTGTTCAAGACAATCCCCATTCACTCAGCACAGAGGCCATTCAATCACACACAATCTAGCTGTGGATTACCGCATTCCAAGAGATTCGAGCCAAGACTCACCACAAACACGCACACTCACATATATATACAGTCACATGCAAAAGTTTGGCACTGTTTCATGTTTTTGTTAAAGTGAAAATAAGTACATCTCTGTACTTACATGTTCTGCACATCTTAATACACAATTGTTGATTATTTGTTGAATTTAACATTGTGGTGAAAAATAAATATTAAAATTTGATGTGCAAAAGTTATGGCACATTTTACATTTTATATTATTTTTCCCCCATTAAGTTAAACTCAGCAAATACATAGAAATTCTGCCTTGAAATCTGCAGAAAAATGCCATATTTGAGTTTGTTCCATGTAAAGGATGTGTGAACTTATTTTCACTTAGAAAATAAAACAACATGTAGTTTGACTAAGGGGTGTACAATTTTTGCACAGAACTTCATACACAAATCCATAAAGGATCAAGGAGTGACATTATGCTAGCCTAATTTATATTTATTTATTTATTTATTTATTCATGATTGTTGTAAATGGTTAGATTTTGCAAATGGTCAAAATGAGCACTAATTCTGTTTCAGTTAGGTCAATCACACCCTGGTTTAAACACAACAATTATGAAATATTAATAAGCTCACGTTGTAAATAACCAACTCCCAGAAGCATCTTAGCATTAAGGTCGTCTTAACTGGTAGTGTTCACTGTGAAGCTTGCACTACCATTTAAGAATCTTTGCACTAAGATGCTTTTGGGAAACCCAGCTCTGTTCAAGAATTCAAATCCATTCAATTTTATTATTATTTTAATTTAGATATTCAAATGAGTTCAAATATCAAATTTACACAACTTAAGTTAAAACAAATACAAATCATGTTCAATCATTTCATTTTATGTCAAAATATTCAGATTACACAGTTCTGTGCATAAGTTTGGGCGCCCCTGGTCAAATGACGTGTTTTGCTGATTTTCCTAAGTGAAAGTAAGGTGATACATCCTCTACAGAGAGCACACTTCTGCACATTTAAAGGCACAATTACTGTTTATTTGTTGAATTTAACATATTGAAATGTGGCCTGTGCAAAAGTAATGGCACATTTTATATATTTTTGTTTGTTTGTTTTTGTTTTTACAACGTTACACTGCAACGCTGTACTAGATGGCAAAATTTAACCGTGTTCTCTGTAGAGGACGTGTTCACTTCTTTTCACTTAGAAAATCAACAAAAACGCCGAACCTTTGCTTACAGTATTGTGGCTGACTGGATTATACTGCAGTGTACTCGTACGGCTCTCTGTAATATCAGTCTTTGCTCTGGGCTGCTCTGTATGGCTGTGGCAGTGCAGGTCACGGCGAAGGTCCTACCGAAACTCCGCTGAACTGCGGTTATTGTTTCCCCGCTGTGTGCGCGCGCTAATGAGCTGCAGGCTGTTAACACCGTTAGTGGCGCACGACCCATGTGGATTCCGCGCGTTCAGCTGGAGCACAGAGAGAGAAAAGAGAGAGAAAAGAGGAGAAAAGGGCCAATCATCAATCATTTATTAGTGCAAACCCGCATTACGGGCATTAGCGGAATGTGTATTGGTGCGCTGTCATTTCACTTCTTTCGTATGCAAACGCCTCCATCATAGGAAGTGTGTATTCACACCGGGCTCATACGGGATGGCAGCTCGAGGATGGACCTTCATTCATTCACTCATTCATCCATTTATTCATTTATTTATTGTGGATTTGCTTTCTCGATATGGGAGTAAACCCCTCACCTGTTAATGTCTACATCTGAGTCGTTAATATTTGTTTGGCTATACCCTCAAAAAAATTAGCCAACAGGGCTGTTGGACTTACAAACTAAAAGTATGTCGATCTTAACCGACACTGTGTTGCATTTACGTCATTTATTACGCAAAACTGACAAAAATGAATGAAAGTCCATTCCAATGAAACCAAAAAAATGCAGTTAACTCTTACAATGTAGTTCCATTAACTACGCTGAGGCAACAGAGTCCTCACACACTGACTCTATATAATTGAATGGAAATGTGTGGCGTAAATGAATTAAGCTCACGCAAGTTATTTTGTTAAGCGTCTATTGCTCTCTAAGTATAAACCTGAAAAAAATTATACAACCATATGCTGAAAAGTGAGCTTTTATCAGTTCATTTTTATCCATCATATTAAATGTATTCTGTTGGACACACAATTGGCTTGTAACAAAGTAATAATCCAAATTCTATTGTGAATAAACGTATAAAAACTACATAAAACATTAATTAGGTACTAATACGACTACATACATTTGCATCACCTTAGACCAATCAGAACAAATTCTTTTGCATCTGTTCCTTATTAATATTAAATTCTGTTGTTGTATATGAATAGGCAAAAGTGAAGTGCGCGTGTCTGTCGTGCAGTTGATCAGAGTGAGTACTGTAAATACTGACTCCCATTAATCAAACTGATGAATAAAGGATACAGAGGACGATTAAATGTCATATATATATATATATATATATATATATATATATATATATATATATATATATATATATATATATCAAAAACAACATAGCAAGGAAAACACACACACACACACACACATATATATATATGACATTTAATGTCCTCTGTATCCTTTATTCATCAGTTTTAATGTGTTCGGATGTGTTTAATCATTCTTTCGGACTAAATGAACATAAGAGCATTTAAAAGCCTACACGCGTTCGGTGTGTTGTGTGTTGTATGTGATTGAGCAGGTCATGGCTTTGATCAGTGCAGTCTCGGTTTAATGTCGTTACGTGGTTCTTCTTTAAAAAGCTCATCATAATCATCGCTGCTCATCCAAGATCAAATTAGTCTCCAATTAACAAATGCTCAATCATCAATGATAAAACCAATTCGATTACCCGCAGTATCATTAGACTGTCTAACATGCACTATTCTCAGATTGTATCGATTAACGAACGCTCGTCTCTGCTTTGTGAGTGTGTGTGTGTGTTGGGGGGGCAGGTTTCGCTGGTCCGGCGCGCAGACAGACCTGAAGATAAAATCTCTGCTCTGATCACTGAGACTGAGTGGACTGTGTTTGATCGAGGTGTCAACGCGGTGCAGGAGTGTTACAGCAGCGCTCTCTCTCTCCCTCTCTCTCTCTCTCTCTCTCTCTCTCTCTCTCTCTCTCTCTCAGACAAACACACACACACACACAGCAGGTGCATCACACAGCATCTGAATGCTGGTTAAATTGTAGTTCTTCTAATATACAACCTGATAACGTTCTAAACATGCTTCTGTAAAGCACAAAAAGGGTTTCAATATTGTTATCAATGTCAGAACCCTTTAGTTTAGAGTTTTCAGTTGCTATAGGCTGATGCAGATTTCCCACAAAGACAGCAATACAAACGTGTGTGTGTCTCTAACACAGCTACTGCTCCAAGAGTTGGAAAGCATGTGTAGTTAAAGATAGACACATCATTGAGGATTATTTCGACTTGTCTTTTCTAAAATGATATATGAACATAGACAACAGACAATACCTATTAATTCTATTAAGCACGTGTTTAGATTATTACATCTGAACCTGCTGTGTGAGGAAAAATCAGAAGAACAAATCCGCTAAATAATGTTGTGTACATTGTCATGTAAACAGAGCTTTACTAGCTTCCGCACCGAAAAACACATTTCCACACTATCTTATCATTCCAACAAATCAACCAACTGACCAAAATAACCATCCAGTCAACCACCAATAAAAAAAGACATTGAGCTAGCTAACCTACCAAAAAAACGAACCAACCAGCTAATCGATCAACCAACTAACCAGCTAATCGATCAACCAACTAACCAGCTAACTAATCAACCAACCAGCCAACCATCCAAACAAACAAACAAGCAATAAATAATAATAATAATAATAATAATAATAAATAGAAAAGTTTGCAAAATGACAAAACTATGCAAATTATTTGTGTCGTTGACCCATGAACAATACACTAAATGTGACGTCTAATTCAAGGCCACACTTAAGGTCAGTAAACAGCAGTACGTTTTAACGAACAGACACAGTTTGTTAAAACGTATATCAATCAGTAAAATTCATTTCACCAGATATAACTCTTCACAAATGTTTTTATTCCTCTCTAATAATTCAGCACGAAATGCGAGCAAATAAAAAATCATTCACTCGCTTTTTTAGGCCACTACACTTTGGCAAACTTTAGACCATAGAATTAACTGGACATATAATCTAGCCAAATCATGTTCTTTTTATGATTTATTTTTTATATTTATGTTGTTATGTTGTCGATACTGACATTGTACGTTTGTTTAATTACTCGTCATTAGTTTTGTACTTCGTAGTTGTGCCATGTTCATTTAAAATGAACTGGACGTATCATATAGCTAAAAACTTTTTTTGTTTGTTTTTGGTGGACTTGGACACGCAAGGTATTTTTCCCTCGTGTCTCGTAGTTGCATCATGCGTCCGAAGCAATTATGTGGGTAATCAAATCAACCCGCCAAAACTATTTTTAAACTTGTATCTTCTTTAACTTTCTTCTGTCGACTTTGACATTGACTGTGTTTTGTTTAGATGGACGCTCGGGTGTTTTATCACTCTTGTGTGACAGAGCTGTGGATCCTCACACCTTTAATCCACTCCTCCGCGCTCTCATTGGTCCGCGCGCTGCTTAAAGCCTCGGGGATGGCCGCAGGTCTTCAGAGCTTCACCTTCACTCGGTGTGTTAGAGGCCATGATGTTGCCTAGTGTAGAAATGGTGCAGCTGGAGCAGCGCTGTAAACAGGCCGAGCTGGAGCAGTTCCCCCCGAGCCCGCAGTCCGCCGAGTCCGAACTCAGCTGCTCCAGCCCGGAGGGGAAAGCCCCCAGAGTGAGGAGACCCTTGAACGCCTTCATCATCTGGACCAAAGAGGAGCGCAGGAGGCTGGCCCAACTCAACCCTGAGCTGGAGAACACTGACCTCAGCAAGATACTGGGTAAGAACAACTTTACACATAGACATATACATACACTTATACCCACATAGTATGAGCAGTTAAGTTAGCTTAGTGAGTTAATCAACTATTAAATTTACTGGATCAGTTGTGAGAATTATTTTCCTGATTTTTTTCTTGTTGTCCACTTATATACCAAAACCACACAACTCATAGTCCATTTTACATAACCATGATACACTCCGATATGTGGAAATGGCCTCTCTTCTGACACACACACACACACACACACACACACACTCACACATGCACATTAATGTAATTGTATATCAGTAGCTGTAATGTTTGCTCTGATCAGTTTCTGAGGGACAAAAATGAGATTCTAATCCAGCCTTACATTGTTTTCTAATCCTGTTTTCTCCTTTTCTCTGTGCAGGTAGAACATGGAAGGCCATGTCTCTGGCTGAGAAAAGGCCGTACATGCAGGAGGCAGAGAGGCTGAGGGTTCAACACACCATCGATCACCCCAACTACAAATACCGCCCCCGCAGACGCAAGAGCAACAGACGCAGCTCCAAAACCCCGCCAAGTGACACCAGCACCTCTTCTAACCTCCACCTCAGCTACATGCTCCACAACCAGGCCCTCCACTACCCCTATACACACTCACACACATTGTCTGACTCATACACACACCCACACAGTCTGGCTTTCCCCACTCATCAAACTGCAGCTCAGAATGGTGCGGCGTTTCCAAACGGAGGAGTTTCCTTCTCAGATGGAGCCTTCTTGAGCTCTTCTTTGGCGTACCCACAGCAGGCCATGTGCCCAGCAGAACCTCAGTACTACAGTTCCCAGCATGCAGTGCAGCAAAGAGTAGAGCACTGGGATTGGCGAGGGACGGAGGTGTGTGGATGTGTGCTGTGCTCAGGTGGACCATCACTAGAGTTTTACCTGGAGCAGGTCCGAGTGGACATGCTGGACCAACTTGACCGCAGCGAGTTCGACCAGTACCTCAATCCAGTACCACCTAAAGACCAACACTGACCAGAAATATCCCAAAATGACCAAAGATCAGTTGTACCTTGACTGGGTAACCTGACCACAAGACACTTTGCATGGGTCAAACCACTAGTATGACCAGTTTGGTAAAAGTGTTACTGTTTACTGTTGCTGCTAAAGACTTTTTTATGTAATTGTGAATATGTGTACATAAATATTTGTATTTATTTATGATGATTTGGACCAAGAATAAGCTGTATCCCAAGCCACATTATCATTAGAGAATCTCCACAGAAATTTTTTTTGTACCATCAATATTTCTTAACAAGTTCTTTGTTTCACTGTTGACAATGGCAAAATCTGTGCAGATCTTTGTACGTTTCAAATATATATTTATGACTTGTTTACTTGGGAGAAAGTTCACTTTGAGCTGCTATAAATAAAAGAAGTTTAAATATATTCCTGTGTTTTTGTCTTTGTAAAAACATGAATAATGATAGATATTTCAGTTAACTTCCTTACGCTCCAGAAACATCTCAAGGTTCATGTAAGGTCACGAGACAGAGGTCCTGCTATTCTTTCATTGTTTTTAATTACGCCTATTTGTTTGCATGGTAGATCAAACCAGGGCCATGGTGATGTCAAAAGCCTGGGGATACCTAGCTTTTCAAATTGTTTAATAATAACTAACATTAAAGAATGACTTGATTTACTTAGATAATCTAGAATGCCTGGAAAATCTCACTGTTTATATGAAGAAACTGTGTACAGCAGGTGTTTTTAATAAATGTAAAGTGCTTTTATTTTTAGTTTTTTTAATCATTTATTATTTAGGACGATCATATGGGTAGTGTTTCTCCAGAATGTTCTCTCTTCTGTTTGGTTCTTTAAGATTCTTAATGGTTTGTTCATGATTCATCTTATAGTGTCCATCTATTTGGTTGCTTGTTGTCCTCTTCTTTTTTTTTCTTTAACTGTTTCAAGTCTAATTGTCTTTTCTAACGAACTAGTTCTTCTCATCGAGTTAGTGGCGAGTCTTGATTTGGAAAAAATCCATTTTTTAATTTATGCCTTCCAAGGTACTCTCAAAAGTCTTCGCCAGCACCGAAGTTCAAAGGCATCAATATTTTTCCTGTCTTGCTTTTTTATTGTCCAGCTTTTGCATCCATGAAGAAGCACAGAAAAGCCCACAGCCCAGACAGTTCTGATCTTTGTTTGTAGAGACAAATCATTACATTTGAAGATCTTTTCAAGGTCTTTTATCCTTGTTCAGCTGAGTGCCACAAATATTGACAGATGGAATGTTCTCCTCAAAATAAACAAAACATACTCATTTATTAAAAAAACACAGTTAGATGTTCCCGAAATTTTGACATCTGTGTGTCTGACATGCATCGTCTACGATTTTATAAGATTTTATAAGATTTTATAAGTCATAAATAATAACACTAAAGGAATATGTATGAACCACTGGTTCAGAAGCTGGGTTGGGGTGCTATAAGACTTAGTTTATTAGGTCAGAGCCCACCCAAATGTTTGTACTTTGGGTGGAGCCGCAATCCCTGATCTTACCAAATCACATTACTATAAGAATCCTAAAAATCCCAACTACACCCACTTAAAACAGATTAGAATTCTCATCCAGAAATAAAGACTATTTGCAATACTAAAGCCCCCCTTAGATTAACGTCAGTTGGATTACTTGTATAAATGCTGCAGCCATGACATAATTAAACTACAACAAACAGCACTGTAGTAGCCTAATAACTTTCATAAAGCTATCCACTTCCATTAATATGACAATATTAAGTCAAATAGTTACAACAGCAAAATGTTAATGTTGAGTTACTTCTGAAACTCTAAGGCACAGTATTTTCCCCTTTTCTCTTGTGTAGGCTGTATTTGACTGAAACATATGCACCATATCTTTTTAGGATATTTGCATTTGTCTAAACTATCACAGCTATCTGGAGAATTTAAGGCATTTGGAACTTGATATGTAAAAAATGCGAAGGGTAGTAGGCAAACGTTCCACAATGAAACAAAACAGATCAATTTAATTTCTATACTGTAAAATCTCTGGAATGTGAACAATTGATTCGGAGTTTCAAAAATGACTCAATATTTACTTCATAGTTCACATTTGCTTAAAATTCCTCACTGCTTAGAGCTTTGTGCTAAAAATGAAATACCCCTTATTGTAACCCAAACAGAAGTACAGATTATTTCCTGTTGGATGACCTTTAGAGGGTTAAGGCCAACTTTGTAGCTCTGTCAGATAAAGCCTGAGCCTGAACCCATTGGGGAGGAAAGTTCCAGCAGTGTTTGAATGCTGAAAAGATGTTGAAGAGGAAGGGAATGGTAGGTGGAACATTCAGGGAAAGCTGGACAGGGTTTTGTGGATGTTGGAAAACAAACTGAAGGAGGAAGGTGGAAGTGAGGTAGTATTCTGGACTTGCTTATTATAGATTACAGATTTATAGATTTATAGGCTAACATGAAAAAGAGCAAAGAAAAAAGAAAGTAGCATGAAGTTACTTACCACTAGTTAAATGCCATCGCTGTTGTAACAAAGCCTCCCTGAAATGGTAACTTTTTGATATGAAAAAACATTCTTAACTTCAATATAAGTTTAATGTACATATATTAATGTAACAACATTTATTACAATGTATTTTTCGACCATTTCCATGTATCATTAACGGTTCACACCCACTCTTAAAAAAGATTCTCTAAAGAACCATTCACTGAAAGGTTCTTAGGGGACCAAAAGTGGTTGTTGTTCGGCATTGTGCACCTTTATTTTTAGAGTGCACTGTAAATTGTATTTGCTGTTTTCAAAAGGTGTCAAAAAAGATAACAAAAAAAGAAGATACAAGGTTTTGATATGAAAACAATCATATACTTTCAAAGTGAGATAACTAGAACTCTACATTCTAGAAATAAATACTTTTAAAATGACTTTTTAAAAAGGTTTACTTGATCAGGAGCTGATGTTCTTCTACTAATGGGACATTATCAGACAGAGTTAATAAGTGATTTGCCAATGAAGAGATTCACTGGCTTCAGGAGTGTGATCAGCCTGTGTTTACTGAACCTCTCTACATTGATCGTCTTCCTTTGTGTACGTGAGCAAGTTTGTGTCAAGTCTTTGATCTCTCGTTGGTATTTTTATACCCGGAGAGACCAGAGACTTGAGGGTGAGTTAGAGAGAGAGTTAGAGAGAGAGGAAAAGACCTCTACATTTCCATACAATGGAAAAGACAGGGACTCTGTGTTACCCCACAAACACCCTATTCCATCTTCTCTTACAGTTACAGTGCATGCATGCATGTGTGTGTGTGATTCTTTTCCTGCAATATTAATCAGAATTGAAGTTCTTTTAAACCTGCATCAGTGGCACAGTTGCATGTTGAATAAGTTTTTGCAAAACAATGATGAAAGAACAGACTCATGTTTCAATCAACATGTCTTCCTCAGTGATGATACTTAAGAAAGGAAGTCAATGAGAAGAGAGTAGTAATTAGGAACAGGAAGAGATGTTGATTTCAATGCCACTTTTCCAAATGACATACAACAACTGCACTCTGCCTGTTTGTATCTTTCACATAGCTATCAGCTTCCATTAATGTGACAGTCAAATATTATGGTAGAGTGACAGTATTTAGTATTTATTATATCTGTATGTATATATTAAATGACATTTTGTTGATTTTCTAAGTGAAGTGAAAATAATTTTAAGTTAAAAAATAAGTCAATGTTGCTATGATCAGTTTAACCCCTAAGTTTACACTTGTGAAAAAATATTGTTAAAATTATATATGTGTGTGTGTGTGTGTGTGTGTGTGTGCGTGTGTGTGTGTGTTTTTCTTGCTATGTTGTTTTTGAAATTTGTCACTACTGAAAAAGTCACTGTTGGTAAAGGTTTGGGGCCATTATTGTTGAACTGGTAGTGACAAAACAGAATGTTCAATAATTTATTTAAATAAAATAAACATAATTAAGGTAAAGGTCATTCAGGTCAAAAGTCAGTTAAAAGTCTGTGAAATGTGTTTTCAACTCTGACTTTGAACCAGTTTGTTAGCCTGACCCATATACATATCTTAGACATAGACAATTTAGTGGAATAACAGCAGTAATTATATAATGCAGTTTGTTCTTATTCCATAATTGACTTAATATATTCAATTAATCTCTTAAACTACTTAATTTGAAACTGAAATAATGCTGATTGTGACTAATCTAGATTTTCTAGTGAAGAGAATAGTTACCTTAATACTACTCCATGACTCAGATTTGCTGAGTGCTCCTGTCACCTGCTCTTCCATGAGTCACCATGTGAGGGAGCTATCAAGTCTCATACAAGCAACTGGAAAACAGGTTTTCAAAGGAGAGGATAAAAAAAGAGAAAAACTGCATTTTTTTCTATTTTTATTTTTCTACATCACTTGAACACAGCAGCTGTCCTCCACATTGTGTAAACATTTCTAATGAATAGACCAACAGAAATGCTCAAAACGTACTTGAAATACAAAAGCTTTTTCTATTATACTTACATTAAAAGCTCAGGAAGCTTTTGCCCTCTCCTGTAAAGTTACTACTTTGTAGATATGCTTATTTTTAAGACCTACTTTGGTTGCTTATTCAGAAACTCTTAAGCAAAAGACATAAAACCTGTCTTCCAGAATGATGGTACATTTAAGAGTTATTATAAGTTGAGACGAGTAAGAAAGTTAAGATTTTTTTAAACATACATATAGCATTAGTATTTCATACTGAAATTAAAGTTTCCAGCATACAGAAATACTGTATCATGAATATATCTTCATTTGTGACTGTTTGACCTACATGATTGTGCCTACCAGAGCATACAAAGCTGCGAAAAATTAATTTTGGAGAAAGGGCTTTCCACAGGCATTATTAACCAGGAATGTGTGTGTGAGAGTGTGTGAGGGAATTTATGAGGCAGTTCAGACAGATAGGGTCATTTACCTCTACTGCTAGAGATTAACACAAACCCAGATTAAAATCTCAAAATAGAGAAATCCATTTTCGAGGGAAGGCATGATCAAAAAAAGATACACAGGGAAGCCAAAAAGTGCTTATGTGGTTTGTGTGCGTGCATGTGTGTGTGTGTGTGTGTGTGTG